TCCAGTTCTGCTTTTTGATAGCAGCAAGGACAGACTTTGCCAGTGGTAAAGGCAAGGGGGAGAGAAGACATTTGCAAAAAAAAGCAGAAATATTTGCAAAGTGTTTTTTAAAAGTTTGAAAGAAAGTAATCAAAAATTCTGATCTGCAGAGTTGAGACCTGCATTACTCATGGACTACTGAGGAAATTGAATAAAGAGAGAATGAAAAGTTTAAACAGTTTTATTTTTTTTAAAAGCTTTGTTTAAACCTGTTTAAACAAAAAGGCAAGAAGAGAAAGTGGCACCTGTAATATCAGCTCAGCCACTTCTGACACTGTACAAGGTATTGCTACCATCCAGCTGCTGTGCTGAGCTCATGCTTTCATTCCAGCCCTACTAAACTGCACATGAAGCACAGAGCAGGCTGTCAGCAGCCTGCCTTGCTGGCATATCTCAGTGTGCTCACTCTTATACAAAAAACTTGTAATGCTCATGTCTTTGTCTCACAGACAGGACTTGCTGACTCTTCAGGATTACTCTGGAGCATCATAGTGAAAATTTAAACACAAAGTTCCAAATCCCTCCCATTAAACCAGCACAAATCCCAGCCGTGCTGCAGTGTGTGGAGAGTTTCCAGGGCTGTAACCAAACCCTGACCCTCAACCTTCACCTGTCTTCCAGACCATCCTCTCTTAAGCCTGCCTTTGCATTTACCCATCACACTCTTACAGCCAGCTCTAGGGAGGGTCTGTGGAGATCTACCTGTTTATACAGAGACATGTCACTGTCAACCTAAAAGATCTGTGATCACCAGCATTTAATTGTGAAGTTTGATTTTAAAAAGCAGTGATAGATGTTGAATTTTCACACACTCTTTGGCTGCTGAATTGCCGGTCCAGCTCCTTGTAATGTGGCAAAGACCCTGCTCACTTTCCTCACTCATTAGCAGGGAGTTCAACCCCAGGGCACCACCCCATCCTGACAACTCATGTTTGACTTGTCCTGAGCAAGATCCAGCTCCACAGGAGGTGCAGAAGCTAAAATCACTCCCTTTCTGCTTTCTATGCCAGGAGGACAGAGTCAGTCTGTGAGGTACACAGCAGGGTAGATTTACACCCACATAAAGTGCCCCAGCAGCCAAGACCTTATGGCTCAGCTACATCTGTGTGCAGTAGATGATGCTCAGTGAGCTCAGTCTGCACACAGGACTAGGAGTCCTCACCCCACACTGGCGGCTGCACAGCACTGCTGGAGGAGAATCCAGTGCTCCAGGAAATAAATGCCAGTGACATGGCTCAGATACAGAATTGCTTCTGCCCACTCTTCCCGGGTAAACTCTGTCACAGAGTCCAAACACACACCACACTACCCAGATTTGTGATTTGTATTTTATTTTTATTATTTTTACAAGCAAGAAAATCCCTGGATTAAAACAATCAGAATTAATCAGACACCCCAAAAAAATCACCAGGTAATGGCTGTCAGGATGGGCAGCATAGGTTAGGCCGAAGTTAGTCCTGAAATCCAGCCTGAGATGTGTCCCAGCACCAAAATCTCAAGCCTGAGATGTGACTTTCCAGGTGACATAGATCTCATTACACCAGGAGCAATAATGCAGCAGCCCCTCTGTCCTAAGGCATCTTGCACTAGTGGGATCCCTGGGAGCTGAAGCAGTGGACAGTAAGGAAGCAATCCAAGTCCCTGGAGGAATAAGAGCAGAAGAGAGAGAGAGAAAAATAATATGACCCAAATTATTAACTTTGGGATGCTAACAGCTAGGGAGCACAAGCTCTCACTAAGGTAGTGAAGGAAAGGAAAGGGTTTTTTTTGTTTGATCCAGTATCTTTGTTTTACTTCAGCTCCTCCCCAGAAAGAGAAACTCTCCATACCCAAATATAATAAGCTGAAACCAGTACCACAAATTCTGCTTAGTGAGCTTCAGATACAGTCCTAGATGAAGGGAACATGCTGAATCAGAGATACTCAGGGCTCCAGTGGGACACAGAAGTGGGTGGGGTGCAGAGGAAGCATAAAAAGGCTGCTAGGTCTGCACAGAGGAGGGGATTTGCACCTACCTCAGATGCAGAAGATGTTATAGTCAGCCAGGGCCTGCTCCTCTGCAACAAAACAGGAGAGATATAAGTTATCCTTGCACAGAGCCAAGTGCAAACAGCCAGGCAGCCCTGGCACCCCATGGTTCCACACTGACCTGGGTTGTAGTAGTCATAGACCCTGACATGGCCTGGCTTCAGGTTGGTCACCTCAATCTCCTGCTCCAGATGCAGGATGTATGTGTCAGAGACATGGCTCAGCTGGGGAAGAGAGTAAATGACTGTTTACTTACGAGCTGTTCTTTTTATTCCTCATCTGAACTTTATCCTACTAACTGACAATAACAACTCTGTAGATTCAAACACTGAATTTCAAGATGAATATTGAGTATCCTGATCCAGTCCTGGATTCTCCCAACAACTCTGGCAGTGCCCTCCACTCCTACAGCTTCTCTAGCAGCACAGACATTACCTTGTCCAAGTAAATGGCAACACCTTCTTGTGTTTTCTCAGTTCTTCTCACAGAGTGCCCATGCTGCAGCTAGGACAGGAAAGAGGAGGAAGCAATTTAGTTTTGCCTTTTGAAAGGAAAGTCTCAGACATCCCAACAAGGTTCATCTAAGTTTGAGTGGGCAGGTTCTCATTCACTCACTTCCAAATGTATTTTGGGCTCATCTCTTCAGGCTGATCTCCCTGCAGGGCCACCCAGCTCCTGCAAACCCCAAGGACAAGAGCCTGGGCTACTTAGCTAACAGGGATATGCTAAGCTGATCAGGCCAGAAGTATCACTGTCCTCAAGACTCAAAGAAAGAGCCAACAGCATGTGTCCAAGTTCGTTGTGTGGCAGGGGGGAAGGGATGGTGAGATTGGTCAAGGAAGAGACAGGCAACACCTTCCTATGCAACCTTCCCATTCCACCTTTCCATGCAGCCTTGCCATGAGCCTTCCCCTCTCTTTGGGCACAGATAGTCCCACTGACACCACATCCCCACCGATTCCACATTTCTTACAGACATCCCAGATCCTGGAGCCAGGGCAAATCCAGTCAGTAAGGACACCTCAAGAATCACCATGTTGGAAGTAGGTTTCTTCCCATTGTACCTGAGGGAGAAGATTAAAAAGAGAGTCTCCGGGGGACAGCATTAAAAGAGAGTCTCTCCTAGCTTTCCCTTCCCTTTACCACCAACCCCTGTGTGCAGTGCCCTGAGGCAGACAGCCCAGCCAGGGCTGGGGCTGAGGCAGTCACTGCTCCCTCTCACAGGATGCAGAGGATGGCTGCACTGCTCTGAGCATCCCCAGTCTGAGCTGACTACTGCACACCTCTTCCCAGCAAGAGCCAAGGCTCTCCATCTGGCCCTCCTGCTGAAACTGCCTGGTGCCTCCCCTGCAGCCAAGAAGCACCCCTCAGCTCTCCAGCCATGCCCAGCTTTCCTTCTCAAGTGGGACAAGATCTTTAGAGTCACCTGACATCGACATGGACAGTAACAGAGCGTGTATTGTCCTCGGTGCAGTTGACAGGCTCAGTTTTCACTTGCAAGGCAAAGGATGTTGAGTCTTGTGGGGAGGGCGTGTTGTACCTCAGCACCATCTGCAGGGAGAGACAAAAAGACAGACTAAGACATTGATAATTTGTTTGATATCATCTATGACACCTTTTTTTTCACTGGCTACTCAACTCCTCAAGATTGTACCCAGACAGTGAACGGATAAATGATATGCAGTAAGCACATTCATTCCAGTACCCAAAATAAAGGTCACTCAGATTGGAAACCTTCCATGGGCTCCATCTCAAACTTTCAATTGAGACTGTGCAAGTCAGGCACACAGCAGTGGGACCACTATAAAACATTTTCGTCTTCCAGTACTCTTGAGAGCCATGGAATCATCATGGTCCTTGTATTTGGGCAGGTCCTGTCCGTTTCCTCCCACACACAGGTTTATTGCATTGGCACCAGGCTGGGATTAAAGCACAGTCAATGCACATTTCCTCCCACAGAGGTGCAACAGAGTGATGATGTTAGACAAGATGAGGAGATGAGGGTGGTCAGAGCAGGGTCTGTGGGAACCTACCCGAGTAAAGACACAACAGCTGCCATGGGCCTGCACCAAGAACTTGCCCGGGACCTCTGTCAGTGCTGCCTCCTGCACCAGCAGCCGGTTCTGGTGGGAGACTTGGAACTTCTTCCCAAAGCCTCCATGAGACCTCACCCTCACTTCTGCATCCCCCTGTGCGCTGTGTGTCAGTGCTGCATATTTAGCCAATGCCTGCAAGGCAACTACTGTGTCCTGAAAAGGAAAACACAATTACATTTGCATCTCTGACATCCAGAGACACTTGATATCAGAATCTTGAGGACCTCCATATCCAAGGGCACCTCTGCCCAAAGCATTTACACCTGCACACATTGTGTGCATATCTTGCAGAGGTTCTTTCTCAAGAAACATCCCCTCCCCTGGCCATGAGTTACCTGTGTTGAGGCAAAGCCTCCATAGGCATTCTGCTGCCTGGTGAGCCAGGCCACGATGCCAGAGGCTGTGGTGAGGTCAGACTCTGTGACATTTGGCTTGGAGAGCAGGGCCAAGAGGATGTAGGCTGTCAGCTCCACATCCGTGGATATTGGCTGTGACCAAGGGCTGGTACTGGTTCTGGGTTTGGATGAGGTCTGACTCCAGTGGATCTGCCCATCTGGGAAAGGAAGGCAGTAGAGGGAACCTTGAAGGATGCCAGGGAAGAACTCCTGTGGCCTAGTCTCCTAGATGCAGCAGCTTGTGTCTGCAGAGACCATTGGGTAAACACCTTTTGGCTGGATAATCACATCCCCAGGACAGCTGAAAACCTATGTATTTTGCAATACCTAACACTCCGTATTCCACACCAAGGTGACATACAAAAACTAATATGCCAATAATCTGCATATGCATTTCCTCCCAGTTGTCCAAATTCTGTATTGCCTTGTTTGCCAGGTCCACTACATGATACTAGCCAGCTGTCCACTGGCCAGCCCTGAGGGTCAGGGACTAGCAAGACATGGGGCAGCTTGCTTTCCTCTCAGGCATTTTGCAGTCCTGCACAAGAATTCCCAAGTCTCCCAAACCCCGACCTCCACTTCAGGTACCAGAAAAGGGCGAGAGAATCTGAAGGAAATCAGCACCCACACCACAGTGTTGGCAGTGTTGGCTCACGCTGTGAGCTCACTCAAGGGATGTCTAAAACTTTTCCTAGTGATGGGCCTAGAGGGTGAGGCTGTGCTCCTCCCAGGCTGCACATTACCGAGGGCTCAGAAAGGTCCCTTCTCTGGTGTTCCCCTGGCACTGAGGCCCCCGTACCTGCTCTGATCGCCTTTCGGCCAAGCACATCAAGGAGTTCCTGGGTGCGCTGAGAGTCCTTAGCCAGGGCAAAGGTGTAGGCCAGCAGGGCCTGGGTGTAGGTGCTGGCAGCCTTGGGGAGGGCAGGAGCGATGCAGCCCAGAGCCCTGCGCACCACTGTGCTCTGCAGGAGAGAGGAGCACGGTCACACACAAACCCCTGTCAGCCAGGCAGAGCCTGGGACACAGGCAGAAGCATGCAGTGGCACATGCCGGCACAGAAAGCAGCCCATTCATTCACTCAGGTGACTGTGCTCGGTCCTGCACTCTCTGTGTCAGTGCAGCACCAGTAGCAGTGTCTTCAGCCCTTGGTGGAGGGTGCTTGACAGAGCTCCCCCCTCGAGCTGGTTTTGGGCTTCAGCAGTGCTCTCTCAATGAAATGAACACCTTTCCTGTGGGAATAACACCACTGTGTCTTACTTTCCCAGTCCAAACGCAACAACAGCAAAACCACACAATTGCAAATGCGTACACGTAGCCTGCTGAGCAGGGCAACTGTGTTTGATTCACCTTCACAGTGAATAATTGAATTTATGGTGAAAAAAGGGTGACCTGAAGGACATCTATTACCAGAAAGAAGTTTAATTTCCACCTGTCTTCAATTTTTTTTTGCCTAAGTCCACTGCTTTCTGTTCTGCTGAAAAGCATTGCTTTTTCACTTACTTTTCTGATCTCCAGAGAACTTCTGTTCTCAGTGTCTACAATTGTGTTTCTCCATCCAGTTAATTGTTTTTTTAATTTCCCTCTGCCACATTCTAGTAACTAGCTACAATCCTTAGCCCTTGTAAGAGCTCCCTCTTATCCTTACTACTTAAGCATGCAGTTCCAGCTGCCCTACAGCACTCCTTTCCCAGACTTCTGCTTTTTTTGCGAAGCCAAATCCTATTAGGAGTTACATTATGTCTATTTATTTGACTGTGGGATCAGCTCCACCCACCTCACGATCAGCCTTCAGCTTCATAGGACCAGCAAGGCGATGGGAGGCAGGGGGGAGCGGGAATGAACAGCTCATTCCTGGGAAATGGCCAGCACAGTATCAAGCTATGAAGTCTTGTGGTCCCCAGTAGTTTAACCTCACCTTTTCCATGCCAGGGATGTCGTCCTCAAAGAGAGAGTTTTCCCCAAGAAGCTGTAAAATCTTCCCCACCCACTCTATTACCTTGCCCACAAGTCCTTCCAAAGAGCTCTGTTGCCTACCCCAGTGTTACCCTTAAGATCTTTAAGATTCAGATCTTAAGGCAAGAGCATGGCAAAGAATCCCAGTATTTACCTCTGGTGTTGCTCCTGCCTCCAAGTATGCAGCAGTGATGTAGGCAGCCAAGGGGACTTCCCCATCTACACCTCCCTAAAAAAAGTATAGACATCCAAAAAGCTGGGAAAATTAACAGGCAAATACTGAAGCTTTTCAGGAGAGGCCTCCCCTATCCCTGGCTTGCTCCCCCTCAAGAAAGCACAGCAACACAGGCAAGTGAATTTAAACAATTACCAGCACACTTGGCAAGAACTGCTTGGTCTTGTCCTTCAACTGGGGCTCCTACCTTCATGAATGTGTGGAAAAGTTGTCCCACATTTTTGAAGCAACCACTGGGAAGCTGGTGGAATTCCAGCCAGGTGAGAGCAGCTTGGATAATCCGGTTGTCCAGGTAAATGTATGGCTTGGCTTGGACAAAGCATTTAACCACAAATGCAGTCAGCCTGATTGAGGAGAACAGAAAAAAAGGCATGAAAGAAGGAAGAGAGAATCAGAGAGAAGTAGAATGCATGAAAGAGCAGGAAGAATGAGTGGAAAGAAAGAAAGAATCTAAGCAGAAAAAAGTGGGAATTTGAAACTGGTATATCTCTCTTTACCTATTGTGCTATTTCTAATGTTCTGGTTCAAGCTCAGCTCATCCCCAGGACTCAGGAATGCATACCCATGGGACGCCCTAGTCCACAGAACCTCTAGAACACTTTGGATCTTATAGGACAGCAAGGGTTTTGTGCTGGAAGCAGAAAGCTGCCCACTTCCTGGCTGTCAGACAGCAGGGAGAGGGCCCAGGGCTTACCAAGTATTACCATACTGATCCTGGATCCCAAATTCACTGTAGGAACCATCAGGGTGCTGATAGTGCAGCTGTATCTGGTACCCTGGGAAGCAGGATAGGACATGAGTGCACACAGTGGATCTGCCACAAAATCACTGTGAAGGAACGGGGTGGTTGTGTGATCCAGGTGTACGGGGAGTAGGAACCTGGGACTGTTGGACACAAGACAAGGCAGAGGGGCAAGGTGGGTCTATTGTACTCACCACTGCGCAGGAATCCTGTTGCCCTGTCCTTGATCTCTAAGCACCTTGACCACCTCCTGGGCAGTAGGATCCACCTCCTCCTACCTGTGACCATTCCCAGCCGTGCACCAAGCAAGGTAGGCCCAGCACAGCTGTGTGGGGACACTTCTGTCCAGCCACTTTCTCCATTCTGCTGTGCCCCTCATATGAGCTGTACACATTCCCATCCTGGCAGGGAAGCTCGTTGATGCAGCACTGTCCCCCTTGCTGAGTGTTTTAGGCTGTCAGTAATCAGGAAACACAGCCACACACACGGGAAGAACATGGCGGTGGAGCCTTGGAAACTCAGAAGTGCTGTGCAGGGGAATTCAGATTTTCCTAGGGTTAAACTCAGAGATATGGGATTTGCAAGGGTACTGCCATAGCTTAATTCCTTACCAGTGACCGAGACGGTGGCTCTGACTGAACCTTCAACCACATTTAGAGGCAACACCAGGGACACAGACTCCTCTGCTGGATTCCCTGACATCAGTCAGGTAAGGTGTGGGGAGACAAAAAAGAAAGAGATTCTGGTGAAAAAAGTCTTCAAAATCCCCAGAAACTGTTCAAGGCTCTCCTGTGATAACTTCCCATATTCCGGGCACAGAGGCTGTAAATCACTTCAAAAGTCCATGTCCCATTGCACCCTTAACTTCCTCCATCTACCTCATGGTAACTGTGCTGTCCTAACACCCCTCTTTATAAAGAGGTTGAGAGGATTTTCTCCTGGAAACCCTCAGGGGTCAAAGCTACCTGTTTTTCTCTACAGAAGTTACTCCATCTCATTTAAGATTTCAGTTACAGGCCTGTCTTCTCAATGCTCCATATGCTCTCAAAGTCAGCTGATGGCCCCATCATACACCATAACATTCAAGACAGGAACAGCAACCCTAAGCCATGTCCTCCAGCCTCACCATGTTCAGGAGTGGGGTTTTATTTCCACAAAGGAAAAGGCCTCAAGCTGTCACATTAGTGGCAGAAATGTTGAGGGTAAAAGACCAGACCTCCCCACATCCCTGCCTAGGAGAAAGCCCTAGCTGGCACCACAGCTAGAGTACACTTCTGTATCTTCATCATGCAGACAGAGAAAATAGTTCAACAAGTGGAAATACCCAGAAGGGGGTTAGGCAGGAAGAGGGGGATAAAAAGGGTGAAAGAAGAAAACAATCCATCTACCTTTTTCAGGACACAGGATGGAGCTGTGAGCCTTTTCTACCAACACTCCCTCTGGCTGTTGGAGCACATAAAAGTAGCATTTTAATGAGCACCCAGGAGAGAAATGGGATTACAAGTGGATTAGAAGACGGTATGTTCAGAATCCTGGTTCAGGGTGGACAGCCAGCTGGAGTATCATCATTATCACACAAAAATGCAAACTGCTTTCAATCATTTTCACTTCTGATCAGAACCAGCGTGCATTTTCGGAATATACTAAATTCTGAGTATCTGTGAAAGTGGTGCTGTAAGATTCAGCAGAGAACTCAGGGGACAAGGACAGAAAAGAGTGTTTAAAGTTTTCCATGGTTTGAAGTGGAGGATGTCCCTTTACCTTCTACATCCATCAGCCCTCACGCCCTGAGATGATAATTACACATTTTGAATAGCAAGGGGTAACTCCCAAAATTAACATACATAAAATCTGGGAATTGCACAAAGCCTGCTTTGAGGCTTAGATAACAAAACAACTTGACTGACCCGAACTTGAATGAGTTTGGTGATCACATCTTTCTGTCCTTGTTTTGGGACAAATGGTATCTCCTCACCACAGAGCTCTTTGGTGGCCACAGCCTCTGTGCTCAGGGTGATGTTCACGAGCCCTGAAAATAACACACATTTAGGTCTATAAGACACCTTCTGAGGAAACACTTCCTGTTAATACAATAGACATCACCTGCTGACAACAAAAAAATTGATCAGAGCCCTATATGTTTTTGTACCTCCTAGCACAGGCTTGTGAGTACATGACCATAGGATAAGTGCAAGTAACTGCTCTCTGGGTAACAGAGCAAACAGCTGCTCACTCTGTGTCAGCTCTTACAAAACATCCCCACCTCGGTCCCATCCCTTCCCAATTCCACCACCTCACCTCCCTGTGCTTCTCACCCAGGTGCTCAGCTGTGACACTCCACTGAAAGGTCTTGGCTTCCCCAGCACATAAGCAGCTGCTGTAGACACAGCCTTTGCATGGCTTCAGCTGGAAGTGTGCAAACTCCTCCAGGGTCACTTGGATCTGAAGGGGCAGCAGGGATGGCAGGTGGCAATAAATAAACATCAACAACACAAAAAGGAAGCCTACAGAGGGTGGAAGGAGGGGCACAGCCTGAGAGGAATACACACAGATTGTTTGATTAGCCAGGGATCAGGCTGGGAGAGCCTTGATAACCCTGGCAACCTGCCCAGGGTTATCAAGGGCAACAAGTGTGTCTGTGTTTGTGCTTAGGATTGTCCCAGCCCAGGTGCAGGACCTTGCACTTGGCCTTGCTGAACTTCATGGGGTTTGCACAGGCCCAACTCTCAAGCCTGTCAAGGCTTCCTTATTTCTCTTTTTAAAAGTGGGGGTAATGTTGTCCCTTTTCCAGTCAGAGGGAACACCACTGAATTGCCATGACTTCTCAAAGGGGATTTAGAACTGGATGATCTTTAAGGTCCCTTCCCCCTATGATTCACAGATGTCAGCCATGTCCCACTTTTCTTGCAGAGGCTATCAGGGCTCACCTACCCTCATGCATTGCTGCAGGTTGTTGGAGACTGTGGCCTTCAGGTTGAAGGTCTCACCCAGGACCACAGAAGATGGCAGTGGCAGCTCCACAAGAAAGGGCTTGGAAACAGTCAGCCGGGAGGCTGGAGCAAACCCAAAGCCGTTACGTCCTGTGCAGAACATTCCTGCTTTCCATTCTGTGATGGCTTCAGGCACAGTGACAGTGATACTCTTGTTCCCACTGGGGCTGGGGAGAAGTAGACAGCGACAGAAGCATTCACTTGAGTGGTGCCGTATGCCACGCCAGGTGACGTGCTGTGTGTCCTTCTCTACCCCATGCCCTCACCTCAGTCCAACCCCTACTGAACTTGCAGCCCTTGCAAGGCTACAAGTGAGTCCTTGTAGAGGTGGGGACCCCACCTCAGGAGCTTACATCCAGAGGACACTTGGGTCAGTAGGTTACATGGCTGCAAGATGCCATTAATCACAGACAGGACTTTCCCTATGGATATCTAAAAATGGCTTACAGATATCAGCAGCCTTATTCTTCTTGGCCTAGGAAATAGAGAACCAGAAACCAGAAACCAGCAGAGCAACAGGACTAGCAGCAGCAGAGCTTAGCAAACGAGGTTGATCCAACCATTCTCTGTCCTGTGAGACACTGACAGCTTAAAGCCCAACATGAGGGCAGGGCAGAGACTTGTCCTGTGCACACATCTCGACTTTTGAGAGAAGACTTTTACCACAACCAACAAAAAGCAGACATAGCTAAAGATACTGGTATTATTTAGCTTGTTTCACCATGCATGGACAAGAAGGCAACACACACAGGACCTGTCCTGAGCAGATTTCAGTCTTCAGAGATCACACAAGAAAATCTTGAAATCTCAGATGAAACATCTCCAAAAGCTCTCTCAACAGACCCTGTGTGCACACTGAGCCTTTCTCACAGGACACAATTTTCAGTCCTGTGAAGGACTTCTATGTACATCAGCTTCCCCTGGATACCAGGATACATCCATGAGCACGTTTTGGGAAATGCAAGCCCACAAGACTACCAAAATCAGAGTGAAGGCAGTGAGCTAAGCTGTTTTGCTGCACCTCGTGCTTTTCTATGTTCCTATGCCAGCCACCTTTCATGGATGACCAGCACTTCTAGTAGAGGAAAATGCATTTAATACATACATCAGCTCCAGCAATGAACAGCCTACAGGTATGAGCCCTGTGATGTATGTCCCTAAGTGTCTTGCATAGCTGCCTATGACCTAAGCTCAGCTGCAACTGCTGCCACTCCCATCCACACAAAATGGCCCAGACTAAAGCCCCACTGCTCAGTTTACTCACCCCACAGAATACAAATCCCACAGCCAGGTTTGGTGAAAATGCTTGTGTACTTTCTCTTCAGCAGAAGAAGGTGGAAACATAGTGGGCTGATAGGTTGCTATCAGATGCTCTGTTGGAAACAACAAAGAGCTATAGTCACCACAGGGTCCTCAGGTCCTGGTTAAGAGCAGAGGAGCTCCAGCACAGCTCAGGCTGCAGCAAATTCAGTCAGCTCTTGACAGCATGGCAACAGAACAAAATGTGCTGTCCCAAATTTTAAAATCCTTTGCCTCATATCAAATGTCAGAGGTGCTTTGGGCTTTACTTCCATGTGGAGGCACCATGGGACAGGCAACATTTCCCTCACTCCAGAGTTAAAACACGGGATCCAAATATCCAAACATCCCCCTAACATCCCTCATATTAGCACAACAGGTTAGGGACACGAAACCCTCCTTCTCCTCCATTTGTACTTACAGCAAGTGATGCCTCTTGGCTCAAACCCAGGACTGCTTTCACATAAAGGACTAAGCCTCCCATGTAAGAAGAAACAGCTGGCAGATGCTTACTGTTATACACTTTATGGGGCTGGGCAAACATCAACATGGGCCTGGAAATAATCTTTCCTGTTCCCCGCAGTGTACTTGTCAGTGGAGTGGTTGGACATACTCTGGGTTTCTTGATATTGGTGTTGGACATAATTTTCAACCCCATTTCCTGTAGGAAAAGATTAATCACCAGAAGATTGTCCTCTCCTCTCTGCCCTCTGCCCTCGTGCCTTCCTGTCCCCTCATACAGTGGGAACTTGGCTGTCCTCTGTATTCTCTTCCTTCATTTTAAGAAGGAATAATTCAGATCCCCAGCAACGGGCAAACAAGGTCCTATAAGGTAATTCGTCTGGCCTGAGTCAGCCAAATTTATTCCTTTACAAACACATGGTCATTTGAGTACCCTGCCTTCTCTGCCTGCAGGGTGCAATTGTTCCTGCTATGAAGATTAAACAAATTGTGTGAAATCCAATTAAAGTAATGAATAATCCTTGGCATCCTGAGTCACACAACCCAAATGTGGCAACCACACAATGATTTTTTTCCTTATACATTTCAAGCCACCTATTCAAATAATGAGTTACAAGGGCCTAAAGTGCACCTGTTCACTGTCCTGCCTACAATGGCATCCCTTGGATATTGGAAAAGTCAGGGGCCACATTTCCCTCAGTCCATGAATTATCTCAACCCACCAAATCAACCATTTTTACCCTGAATGCCGTAAACACATCAGGCCCATCAGAATTTGGGAACCCGCATGAACGATCATCTTCAGACACTTGGTGAATATACTTGGAGTTATAAGATGGGAACAGCCCATAGATCTGAGAAAGCAAGGGAAAAAAAAAAAATCAAATAAAATGCAAATTAAACCTGGCATTCCCTTCCTCTCACACGTCCGAGGCTTGTTTGAGATGCTTCTGGCTACTGCGTATGAACGCGTGCCAGAAAGCCCAGGATCGCTGTCACTCTTCCTGGGCTCTCCTCTGACAGTGTCAGCACAGAAGCTGTCTTAGTGATGAGTGACTGAGTGGTACTCAACCTCTTCCTTAGTCCCTAATCCCTACCCACCACACTGGGAGTGCTGCTGATCCCTCCAGGCCGTGCTTTCAGTTAAGTTCTGCAGAAGTTCAGTCGCCTCCCTCCCGCCTCGTGTAAGCAGGGAAGGGAAAACGTCAGAGCAGGCTCGCTCACCGAGTGGCTGCTCAGTTCTTTTCCTGGCTTCATCCAAAAGGAGCTTGGATCCACAGCCCAGACAGCACAGGTGGAGCCAGGAGCGGCCTGCAGGTGGAGGCCAACCTGTGAGCCAGGGAGAGTCTCTGGCGTTGAGAAGCCCAGCTCTACCTGGATGGGAAGAATGCAGGCAATGCCTGAGTGACATTTCTAGGTGCCACCCTACCACTTCCCAAGCAGGGAAGGGACCTACACGAAGAGAGTTTCCAAAGACCTGCCTTGTACAGAAACCCAAGGATCCTCCCAGGTTCAGAAGGTGTTTAAAAAACACCACATTGAAGTTCTAACAGGAAAGATGGCAGAGGGGGAGCCATCAGTGTGCATACAGAGACATTCCCGTGTCGGAGCACAGTTCTCTCTTCTTTACCCAGCAAACCAGCTCTCACAGCTGTCTTATGAAGCGCCTTCTTCTGGGGCCCCAGATCAAAAATAAGCCTAGTCCTTATCTCCAGGCTGTTTGTGGGATGGGCCTCAGTTTCCTGAAAGTCTTCCTGTTCTTGTTTGAATCTGACTGTCTATGGCAGACAAAGAGCTGTGGAGCAGGGGTAATGGCCTCTCAGAAATTCACTTTTGGAGCACAAGACACAGCCAAGAAAGCTGATTCCTGAGGATGTCACAGTGACCAGATGCACTCAGCCCTTTCTGGATGGCCAGTAAAATCCACTTCTTCCCTCATCTACTTTCAGATGTCATCCCAGTACCACATACTAGCATTCCTAATTATCTGCTGCAGCAGCAGAACAGCCCTGAGCTCTCCTGAGAACCACACAAACGACCTGTGCTGGGCTGGATTGTCTATGATCCTCCCAGGCTGCTGTTGCCTGGAGACAGACAGCAACTCTGCCTTTCCCAAACATTGCAGCAGCCCCCACAAATGCTGAGCACACACTTGCTCCAAGCATCACAGCACACCTCACCAATCACAAACTGCAGTTTCATGTGACTGCATCACACATCGTATGGGCCACACACAGAGGCACAGCTCTCCTTTCATTGCAGCAGACACGTCCACGCTCACACATCTAGCCACATCTCAGACACAAACCCTACCTTGTTTCTGAAACACGTGGAGACACTGAAGATGGCAGAATCGGCAATGATTTTTCCATTAGGGAAGATGACATAAACAACAAGTCTTGGAGCTGGGGCATAGGTCGAGCTGAATGTAAGAGGGATGGAGAAGGAGCTTTCCAGCACTAGATGGAGAAGAAGAATAAGAGAAGTAAGGAATAAGAAAGAGGAGAAGTGTATCTTCTTCTGTAACAGGAATAGGAATAAGAGGAAGTAGATTTTGTAGTGAAAATAGAGTCTGATCAGCTTTGCCATTCTGCATGTGCCTGTTCAAATACTTTCCTCCTTTGGTCTTTCAAGACCAAATTGATTTCTGGAGACTACTGAAACAATCAGCACATCTCTGGATCTGGTATTCAAGACAAGCAAAAGACTTTTTTGTTTATTGCCCCAGGGACACAAAACAGTACTTTGGAGTTCAAGCTTGGCTCCACAAAAAGTGAGAGTCTCAGATATCTTTTTTTCAGCCTCCTCTCACCCAACATCTCCCATCCCATCACCAACAAAGAGGTGACCTTGTCCCAAAATACTTATAACTCAGGTTTTAAAAAACACAGCTGGAGAAATAGGCAACAGTGGGTCAACAGACATCAAAATTATAACCTGTGGCATCCTAATGACCCAAATTATTTATAGAAACAGTTGCTATGGAGGGTAAGGCTACAGTTTTATGCTTCAGGAGCAGCAGCAGAAGGAGACAAAAAGAACACAACAACAACACAACAAAAGAAGACAACAGAGGATGTGCCTATGGGCTGAGAAATTCTGAGTATTCTTCTCTTGGTCCAAAGCAGGAGGGCAAAGGGAACATGAAATCTAGAAAAGCACAGTACTCTGATGCAGCACACAAGTGGTGAGACATCCCTACATTGCAGGGAGGCTTATGCCACTTATCCAAATAAGAGGGGATGTCACAGACCACTAAGTGCTTGCTAGACATGGCACTGGGGAGTGCACTTACTTCTTGGCAGCCCAATCCAAACAGTCTGCTGACCTGCATGGACTATCCCTCTTTTCCCTGTGACCTAGACAAGAACACAGAAAGGGATGGTCACATAGTCACGTAGCCTTTGAGATCACTAAGAAGATCAAAGTAACCCTGAAATTAAATTGGGAGATTAAATGGGGGTTGGGGAGGAATATTAGCTTTATTTGCTCTCAGCTAGTAAGGAGAGCTGAGGGATGAAGTGATGTGGGGGAGGACACGTAAGGCCTGCACCTGTGCAGAGCCTACAAGAAAGGTTTTGCCTTTGTTGCTATTACTGCGGTACCAGAATCAAAACCAGGATTCAGTTCCATGATGACTGGAGGAACTCCCTGTCCTGGCCTGAGCCAAGACTATCAAGTAGTCTTAAATATCTTGAACCTCAGCTCAGGCCTTCAGCTGTCACCCACTAGTGCTTTCCCAGAAACTCACAAAGTAGGAGAAAATGACGCGCTTGGGCCCATGTTCCAGGTCTTCCTCATAAATTCTGAAGTCCACCTGGACAGACTGCATTTTACCACAGGGTATTGTCTCTGGCACACGGACGATAGAGAGGAAGCTCCTGCTGGTGCTGTAGAATGGATGTATGAAATAAGAGGCTCGCTGGTAACTCAAGTCAACTGTCCCAGGCTCTCTGTCCAAATCTTGATGCAGGACACTTGCCTGGTGAGACAAAAGAACCAAACCAGTTAATTTCTCTAGTTAATCGAGTCAGCTGCAAATCACCTTGGATTTGCAAATCACAAAGGACAGGTCTTGCTGTGAAGAGCTCATGAGGAAAGGAACTGAGACCTGGAGAATAAGCTCTCAGAGGGAGAGCCAAGATCTAGAACATGCTGAGGTGCTTCAGGTTTGAGTTACTCTCCCTCAGGAAGGAACAAGGAAGATGTCTATGGGGCAGTAAATAGCTCTGACATGCACACATACTCCTGCCACACCCTTCCTTCCTTACCTCCAGGGAGACCAAGGTGCTGTTCCAGGCAGAGGTGTCCAGGGTAAATGAAACTGTTCCAGAGTCTCCAGTGATGAACTTCTGCCTAAATTGCTGCTCAGCACAGTTTACTACAAGAAGGACTTCTTTGTTCTTCAGTGCCTTGCCTTGGTGATCAATTACTTTAATCTGAGAACATCATGGGGAACAAGAGAAGTGAGGAAAAATCTAATCAGCAGGCAGAATCTCTGGCTTCCCCAAGTCAGGAGCAGTGTTTCCAAAGACAGCAAGATCACTCTTTCAGTCACCAATAATTTTATCAACACTGCTACTGCTCCTATTACCACTTGCACTACCATGTTCATTCACAAAACTACAGAATCACAGAATGAGTAAGGTTAGAAGGGATCACAGGGGGTCATCTGGTCCAACCTCCAGTATTCTCCACTTCTCAGCAGAGGACTTCCTGGCTGATGAAATTCCAAATGTTTGGGTTTGCATCCCAGAAATTTAAGCCCATAGCTGCTCCCCTTCATGGGTTATTTGGTAAATAGCAGTCTTGGGATTTATTCTGACATTGGACAACTCAAGAGTTTTGTCTCTGGGAGTAATTTGTGCCCTCCCAAGCCCCTGGCTAGAAAAGGGGTCAGAAAAGACGGTAAGTAAATGTTACTGTGAAATATTGCTTACGCTCTCCCCTCCAAAGAACTGAAACTGGTAATTACCTTTCCTCTGAACATCTGTCCAGGGTGGTAGTAAGAATTCACATCATTAAACAAAGCCAACCCGCCAATCCTGGAGATAAGTAATTTGTGGGAAGCATTGACCTGTATCTCTGAATGGAAGCAGCAAGACAAAAACATGAGAGAAGGAGCAAGAAAGACAAGCGCTTCTCAGCAATTTCCCTGCAGAGTGACCCACTGGTAACACAGATGGACACATTCAGCTGCACCCACATGTCACATCCCAATGGTGATCTTCCCAAGATTCTGGGTATCTGGTCTTCCTCCCACTTAACTTCTAGCTTTTAGAGAGCCTCACCTGACACCACACTCAGAGTGAGTGTGTCACACTGTCAAGAGCTGCTGTCCCTGTCTCTATATGTGAGGTTGAATAGCAAGCCCGGATGGGCTCAGAAGGCTCAGATCCCTTGCTAGCTGGAAAGTCTCCAGTGCATTTGGTCAGATTACCACACCTTCAGATCTTTTGGTCAGATTAGCACAGTTTGCCTCTTCCCAGGCACCAGAAATTCTAGAGTTACCTGTGGCATCCTCCACCAGCGAGGCCTCTGCAACTATGCTGTCCCGATAGTACCGAAAGTCTTGGCTGAAAGAGGACAGGCTCACATTTGTGAAGAAGCAACCTGACTCATCTGTCTGAAAGTTCAGAGAGAAGGAAAAAGGTCTGAGCAAGGCACTTGGATTAGAAGTTATGGAAGCGGCAGAGGAACAGCGGCACAAAACCCCTGCTCTCAGGGTGCTTTGCCTTTTGGCATTGCAGCCCAGGACGTGGAGCAGGCACATGATGAGGCTCAGTCACAATCGTCAGGCACAGCTGCTGAGAGGCAGCACCAGTAGCAGTGGCCAAGCAGCCAAAATAGTGGGTTAACATTGCTATTACTTCAGCTAAAGGACCCAGCAGCCTTGTCTTACCCTGAGGCTGAGCACAAATGCCTCTGAATATGGCTCTGCTCTTTCTAAGCATCTCACCTGGTTGCTGAATTTGTGACAGAGATCAGGTTTGGAAGCACTGGGCAGGAACGGGGCTATCTTCTGACAAAGGCTCACATGAACCTTCCCCTGGATGCTTTTCCCACGAGTGGATCTGTTTGTGGGGAGCAGGAAAAGGAAGAGACAGTCACACACAGTGGGAGAACACATGGCTTGCTTTGCATAGCCCCAGAGACCACGCACTGCCAGATATTCACAATATACCACAAGAGTGGCATCCACACAGCAGGCCCAGGAGTCCTGACCCAGCAAGTAGGGTCAGGCCAGGGCTGTGCAGTGATGGGAGATCAAGGGCTTTATGATATTATTAGCACTAAACTAAATTATTTTGGGTAACTAGAGTGTTGTAAGTGCTGACCGCATTATACACCAGCATTAACTGCAATAACCCCAGGATGTGCTGAAGGCATTCATCATCTTATGACCAGAAACATGGGTGACTAAGAAAGTGCCTTTTATTAAAAAATCACCTTCACATGGGGCTAACTAGCATTGTCCTTGGATCATACTTGGGGAAATTCCTTTTTGCCTCCCTTTAGTTTCCACGTGAGCATAATCTGGAAAAGCTTCCCATCATTTCCCATGAGTTTGTTCTTCAGGGAGATGAACACCACATATCTGCCATGATCTATCCCACAAACAGTTGCTTGTCAAAGGGTAGGCTGCTCCCCCAGGTTTTGTGCGTAGAGATTTGTGAAGTGCTTTTAGAAAAGGGGCATTTAGAGTATCAGAATGATAGTTACAGGAACGTTTCATGTTGCCTCAGGGTGCAAACAGCTGTCATGGCAGATTTTGGCTTCCTGTGACTGAAGTGTAGTAGTCTTGCCCTTAGCTCCTCATGATAACCCATCCAGCTTGTGCACGTCAGGCCAGAAATTAACACAGGGTCATCCCTCCAGTCAGAATCCTCACCTGCCACATACCCGGAGCAGGAAGGTTGTATCTAGTGCATAAATCTGACTTGGTGCCTCAAAGATCACTTCAAATTTTGGCAGCACTGGAAAGGCAAAACAGGGAACTATAGGAAACACAAGCCAGGGACAGCCTTCACTAAGAATCAACATAAAGGCAGACTGTGGTGGAATAAGGGACAGGAAATGGGCAAGGAAGGTGGTGAGAAGGGGAAGGGAAAGATTTTCCATGTATCTTTAACACATTTGTGTGTAGGTCCTGGATGATTTGCTCCTTCCCAAACTAAAACCAAAAATCCCCGTATCCCTCCACTTCTGACAGCTATTTTCATTGAGAGAAGACTGGCCTCCCAATACAGTTGATTAGGGAATGAAAGTGAAGTGAGAGGGCACTGGACTTCATATTCTCTAGAAAAGTCCATCCTAAATTGCCTTGTTTTATCTGACTCCGGGATCCATAGGAATCAGCTGTGTCAAAGGTCTGGGGCCATGGACAACACTTCTCCCACACACTAAGGTCCTGAAGTCATCTCCTCTCCTAAGTCTCAGCTCAGACTCTTTCCTATGATGCTAATACTTCTCCCATGTGCTCCTAGGAAGGTTATCAAGGAATAAACACCCTGCTTCCTGGACCAGGAGCACAAGGTCCTCTCAGCAGCTCAGACAAAGCCCCATGTGCTCTTACCATGCTCTTTGACGGAGAAGCTGCCGTAGGCTCTGGAGCTGGTGACGTTGATGACGTACGTTCCCAGCAGGGGCTCGTCACTCAGCTGGAAAGACAGGTCTGCAATGCCATCCTGAGGGACCACGTTCTGCCACTGCTCTATCTGGTTGTTCTTAGGGTCCTGCACACACAAGAAAGAAAGAGTTGTTCCAGCATCTCGCTCACTGATCCACATCCCATAGAAACTGAGCTTCAGGATTTCAGTGTGGTAGACTACCAGATTCTGTAGCTAAGGAAATGAGGTTTGGTATAGACTGATAAGGAAATTTTGAAGACATGATAATGTTCGGATTCTGCTCCCAGCATCTGAGCCTCCTTCTACACTTATTTAAATTCTAATCTTAAGCAAAGCTTCCTTGCTGTTCTAACTTTGTTTCATAAGCACCTAAGTTTTCTATTTATTCTCTTGCAAATCTAGAACAACAGATTTCTACTGAAGTCCCTGGGAGCATAATCTCAAAGGAGTACATAAAAGAAAGCTGAAAGGAGTATCTTAGTTTAAGAATTTAACATCCAACAACAAAAAAAGGTCTACTATTCCACCTAGAGGTCTTTAAAATCTATCAGAAAGTGAATATGAACAGCACAGTGAAATGACTGCCATCACCATTACTCTAACATGAGGTTTCAGCATCACTCACCAGGAGAAACAGGGAAATCTGGGGAGGAAAAAATGCAAAAACATTAGAAAAGAGAAACACATGCCAGCACCACACACAAAGTACTTCAGACTCAGAGCCCTCTCTGAAGGATGTGCAACTGGTGATTTGGAAACTTAAGAGCACTGACAACAATACAATTCAATAGAATTCAACAATATTCAATTCAACAGAATGACTAGATTGGAAGAGTAAAGTAAAACAAATGCCACCAAAAAGGAGAAATACCAGGTGGGTTCATTACAGTAAGGTCTGAAGAAAGGGAAAGGAAAAACCAATCTGGAGGTCACATAACACTTGCTAATGACTTCCTGACAGAAAAACTCACAAGTCACCACCCAAACAAATGTAGCTCTGGTTCAGGTCCAGTCTTAAGAGGGTTACAGAGGTATAGGATCACATAATTTGGAAAGAACCTCTGGAGGCCATCTAATCCAACATCCTGCTGAAACGTGTCTTCCTGAGCAGATTGCTCATAGCCTTCTCCAGCTATGTTCTGAACATCTCCAGTGATGAAAATGCCTTTTCTGGACATATTTCCACACGGTTGCAATCAAAAAGCTTGTCCTAATGTCTAAGCAGCATTTCCCACATTCCATCTTGTAGGGTGCAGATTAAAAGCACCCTTCCCCCCAAGAAGGAAAACCTGATTTACAACCTATTCACTCCCCCCATGACACCTTCACATCAGGAACCAATATGTCCCACACTTGCAGTTGCACGACTGTTCTACCAAGATGAGCAAGAGACATGCACACCTCTGCCACCTTCCTGGCAGTTACTTTTGCCCTCTGCATACTCATAAAACCGGCCAGGGATAAATGTGGAAAAGCTGGAGATTTGGCAGTGAAAGGGGTGGAAAGGAGGTAGGATCCATGCATGGTACAAGGCAGCCTCTTCCACAGCCCCCAGGACTTGCTTACCGAATCGTTGAGTGCACGGAATTCCTCATCCAGAGTCACAATGCGAAATTTCACTGAAGGCAAGGAAATCAGGGAATATATTATCAGATCTCAGTTTTTCCCTACAGACCCGTGCTCCATGTGCTACCCTAGCTTCTGTCTCCACTCTAGACACACTTGTGGTAGCATCTGACACTAACATTTCCACATGTATGGTACCATGGACATGGTTATCATTATCTACTGCCTCCTGCAGCTCCACAGTCATCACAAGCCAGACATTACAAACACTGAAACCCCACTCAGCAAGACACATGGTCTCAAAGCCTTGTGCTAAGGTTGTTCATGCATTTCAGGGCATCACAGTCTTTCCGTATGGTGCAACCAGCAAAAAGCCTGGGACCCTCAGCTGCTCCCATTTGCATCTCACCTGTCTGTCCTGGTTCATAGATGGGCTTGTCAGTTTGGATGATGGTGCCATTCCTGGCCTTGCAGATCAGGACCTTTTTCTGTTCCTCAACATTGACCCCTTCTCCTGTGATGGTCAGTTTTACAGTGGCAACCTCCTCTGTGCCATTAGCTGGAGGGGCAACCTGTAACACAGAGAGGAGAGCACACATGCCCCAGGTAATCTTCTGAGAGTGAAGTGGAACAACCAACTGGTTCCCTCACACTGTTCCAGGAGGGAACAATCACCAGCCAACCTCTGGAATCTGTCCTTTTTCCCACTGGTGACAAGCAAGCCCCTGACTTTTGAGTCCTCAGACTTGTTCAGGAAGATGACAGGAAGGTGGGAGATGGTAGCAGAGAATCGAAAGAGAGATTGAGCAGTTGCACAGCCTCGAATGTTAGGCTTTCAGAACTATCCAGCACTTACAAACAAGAAATCCAAAATAGAAAACACAACCAGAAAGATACCAAAGACCCCAACAGCCTTAGCACAGAATATACAGTATAACAGAAAGGATATTGCTCAGACATATCTGCCTTATCCTTAGATCTTTGCTAAGTTCTCACCAACAATTAATAACCTCTAAGATGCTGTTTAGAAACAAGCAGCGTATCCATTTCCATCCAACTAGTCCTCAGTAGCTCCCAAGAGCTGAGTTGCTGCCTGACTTCAGGTGCTACAGAAACTGCAGTATGTCCTGCAAGACACCATTTCGCCAAGCTTCAGCTGTGAACCTGCACAAATCCTTCAGAAAGAGCTAAAACTATTTCATCTGGTCTGTAATGGAGGAGAAGGACACAGGTGGTATCTGGAACCCTGGCAGATTTTAACAGATGAAAATTCCATTTAAAAATTAGATTCAGAAAGGAAATTCAGTGCTAACCAACAGACTGTGTCAGGCTGTGCATCCCTAGGCACCACCCATTCCCCTTCCTGAAAGGCTCACACCAAGACAAAGTAGACACAACCCATGTCACCCCTGGTAAGGGAGTAACACAAGCATTTTCCTGAAAGGAGAATCAGTGATGGAATTTGCCTTGGGTGGCTCACCCAGAACTTAGTGCACAGGAAAGTCTTCTTCTTCTGGATGGTTTCTTGCATTAAGACCTCCCGTCCTGCAGAGCGCTCCAAGGCCAGATTCACTTGAATTTTTGCATCATGACAGGTGATATGGAGGCAGGCAACCTGGGTGGACGGGTACCAGAGAGCTTCAGGAATCACCAGCAGGTAATGTCTGTGGTGGGGAAAGACAGCAGAGGTGGTATCAGTTTGAGGACTCAAGAGATGTAAGAAAGCTTCCCTGCTATGGCCCACTACTGCAGAATCCCTCAGCAATGTGCCATCAACATTCAAAAGCAACAATGAGCCCAGCAAAGTGGTTGCTTCACTGAAATGTGAGAAATAGTTTCTGCTTTATTAGCTTAAATATAGCCCTACAATCTCTTTCAAACCCCTTATTCCAGTAATCTCCTGAACTCTCCAAAAACACCCCATGCAGTCTTCAAAAGAAATGGTTTCATAACCTTGCAGTCTAGACACCAGTGATTTGATCTAGCATTGCACTGCAGAGCAAACACCTCTGGGCCTAAGGTCTGACCCGGAAGACCCCCAGAAAGTTGGCTTGTATTGACCTGCAAGAGTCAAAGGCTTGGTAGGCAAGGTATAGGACTCAGCTACCCTTTGTGGTGATCTGATAGAGCAGGAAGCATGAGAGCTGGTGGCATGGGATGTGGTCCATCTAGCTAGACTGACACCTTCATGAAAGAGACTGAAACAAGAGTTCAGCATCACTCACGGTTGGTGAGAAGCAGCTGCAGCATGGAATAGAAGGCTCAGGAGGATGGCTATCCTCATCCTGAGGTTTCTTGCTGTCCAATCTCAAATGGCTCTCTTCCTCTGAAATCTCTGAGGCTGTTTATAGGGGGGTAATTTTTTTCTAGCACACCCTAAATGAAGAGGTGGGATGTGGGGAGGAGCCAGCCTCTCCCTCTCTCCTGAGATTCCACACAGGCAGCTGTAAGGATAAGTGTACTGTGCCAAGTGCCCCTTGGCCAATAGCAGCAGCTTTGGCTGCCATCCATCAGTTCAGAACATCCCCTCCTGCAAGGCTGCTGTGGAGACACCTGACCAAATGGACTTCTCACGACAAAAAAACAGTGAGAACTTTGCTGATCAGTGACCCAGGCCAGGTCCTGATCACTTGGCACTTGCATCCCTTTGTTTCAGCTGGAGATGGATTGCCATTGTGCAGCCTGCAGCAAGAGCTGCCCCCTGCACACAGCAGTGTCCTCATTCAGGACACAGCCCAGGAGCTCTGCATCAGATTAGGGGGATGTGGATCTCCTTAGGCTGCCTGGCTTGGGAATGGAGTGAAACCTTCCATGTGCCTAAGGAAGTGCTGCAGCAACACTGCCACCAGCCAGCAACCACTAATGAGCTAATAACTTTGTCTTTTCCTTCCCTGTGTATCATGAGGAAAATGGAAACAAATACTGGCCTACAAAGGTTTCCACCAGGGCCCTGCAACACCCATTAGTCATGGCACTATCTGCAAGGAGGGCAGGAATGCCTTCCTGTCCTTCATTATTCGTGTCTGGGTCTAAAGGTCTGGCATCCAGGGATACAGCCTTTTGGTTCTGCTTTTGGTCCTGTGGGTCAGCTTAAAACTCACAAATTAAATAATGTGGGACATTTTGTAAGCACTGATGGCAGCCTGTAAAGTAGGTAGATAATTGTCCTGGTGATAATTGTCCAGTTTGGCTTCCAGAAAAGCACAGTCACCACATAAACTGCCTGCTGTGAGCAGTCTGCAAACTAGGCTTTTGTGAGCATTGTGAGCATTAGTTAGCCTGAGCTGAAGTGTACAAGGGACTGTCCTAATAATACAGACAGTTCTGTGCCTGGAAATATTTCCCAGTGCTGTTTAATAGTGCCATTGCAGCCTAAGCTTTCCATACCTACATTCCAACATGATGTTATTCAAGCAGGCAGCTGAGATCTCTTCAGCTGGCAAAAAGAGCAGGATGCACAGAAATGTTCAGCTAACTCAGGAGCCCTGTTCCCAAGGCTCTCCATAGTCTGTTCCCAGATGGATTTGGGAAGACTGAAATGCATCATGAGGGCTGCACATTATGAAGAGGATGTTACTGCTAGCTAGTATTGCCTTTGTCTCAAGTGGACATTTCACTGTTCGGTTGATTGAGATAACTGGCCAGAGCCTGATAGAAGTCAACTCTGAGTTGGTCTAAATCACTGTTAGGCTCCTAGGCAAGGGAGACTAGACACTTTTTATTTTGATGAACACATTCTCCCCATTCTTGCTTCTTTGTGTCCCTCTCAAAGAAAGAGATCACATTACTGAGAATGACAGTCACAGAATCACAGAATGGGTCAGGTTGGAAGGGACCACAGCGGGTCATCTGGTCCAAACTCCTTGCTGAAGCTGATTCCTCCCAGAGCACATTGCACCACCAGATTTCATCTGGTCAGTTTTCATATATCTCCAGTGAGGGAGAATCCACAGCCTGTCTGGTCAATCTCCAGTGCTCAGTCACCTACACAGCAAAGTTCTTTCCTCATATTCAGGTGGAACTTCCAGAGCATCAGTTTCTGCCCATTCCTCTTTTCCTATTGCTTAGCATTACTGAAAAGAGTCTGCCAGGCAAACTTACAATTTTTTTGTCTAAAATCAGATTTTCCTACAAAAGGTATGAGTCAGATCTATCACAAATCACAGCCAAAGAGGTCCAGATGCTGGCAGATTTCTGGCAGGAGCTGCACCCAGTAGGGCCAGCACTGGGGAGATCTCTCTGACCCTGTCCCACCATGCCCTCCTACCGTGTTTGCCCAGGTGTGCTCTCTATTCCTTGTTTAGCTTTGGCAAACCTGGCTTTTGGTCACATGAACGTCCATTTGAAGGATCTGCATCGAAGGCAGTGACTGACACAGGTGTCACAAACCCAGACAAAGTCTCTGCAACAGAGAAAGCAAAGCCACCTTTCTAGTTCATTTTTTTTCTCTAAATGGACTCCAAGAAGGCCTTTGTGATAGAAGTGTTGAGCCAAGATTCCCATGGGGAGTAAGGGATCTACTCCCCTTGAAAAACACACTTCAGCTGGAGCAAAGGACACAGTCCATGCTGGCAAAGCAAAACCACATAGACGCCTCTCCACAGTTAAAACCTGAATCAAAAACTGAAAAGGAGGAGGAGTAAAGGTCATACACATGATAAATGGATAACATTGTCCATGGTTCAGAATGAGGAAAAGGACCTTGGAAATGACTCCTGTGTTTTAATATCTTTGAAGAAAATAAAAAGGCAGTGGTGTCAATGAACTGCATGAAAAGGGTACGGGAGAAGTATCGCTGTCTGCAGAGCACTTTGACAGGAGACTGCAGAGATGAGGAAGTCCTCACTTTCAAGAATTGCATTTGTAGGAGAGCCTGTAGTGCAGAGTAATTCATCAAAGCAGCTGAACCACTCTTCATCCTCCTCTAGACACTTATCACCAACATCATACAGGCCTTTTCTGCTGTTGCCTTCTTAACTTTCCAATCTCAAACTTCATGCTCCTAATCACTGACATTTCCAACTCACCTCTTAAACACACACAAGTTCATTTCCATAACAGCTGTGTAGCATTTTCAAAGACAATGAGATTTGCTATCCTTGTGTTCTGAAAATGAAGTAAACTTTTGCATTAAGGATATTTCATAGTTCCTGTAAGGTTCATAAAAATCTATCAGGCTTTAGTGTTTCTGCAACCTCACTAGCATCCATAACATAATGGAATCTCTTTAAAGAATCTCTCCACAATGGCAAAGTAGGCTGCTGCACCCTCTTTCTGCTGCCTTGACAGCAGATTTGTCCATTGCACCAAAATCAAGCAAGGAACCGAGAACACACCTGGACAAACATAGCAAAAGGAGCAGGAACTGACTGGGTCAGAAAGCTTGAAGGCAACATAGTGTAAACTGTTCTGTGCCTCTCTCAATGCTTGGCCCCTACATGAAGATCATTCAATGAGCTTCAAATCTTACTATTTTTTTTTCCCCCAGCTTTTAGACTGTAGGCTTTAATTTCTTTAGTTGGAATTCAGTTTGGGGAAATTTCAAAATGATGCCCAAGGAATTTTGGAAACTGTCATAAGAAGGTGCTCAAACCACAGGCAAGACATGCATCTCTTCAAGAGATGAATGTGAACCCTGCAACTTTGCATACTTCTCACAAAAGGGATCAGTAACTAGCACACCAGCTAACACTCAGAAAATCCACACATGCAACTGAAAGAGTCTATTCCCTTCTGATCCTTCTTGGCCCAGTACCAAACCCCTGGCTCTTGCTTCACCTCTCTTACTCACCCCACCAAACAGAGGAAAGAAATCCCAGCAGAACTCCAGGCAGAATGACTTCTCTTAACCACGACATCCTGGCTTGTTAATTCAAATCTGGTCATCAAGTAGATAAGCCTGATAGAAGTTGAAAACTGTTTACAAATTGATCAACTGGCTCAGCCAAACCCACAACAATTTCCAGATCTTAACACAGTAGCTTAGGAATCATCTCAAGTCTTACAAAGAATCAAAACCCAAACTGGATCCTAGTGGTAAAGTTTGGAGTCCTACATAAAGCAAGTTCTACCTTGAAAAACTGTGGTGAAGATTTAACTACCTGTAATGTATTTCTGGGAACATTTGTTGGGTCTTAGGCTAGATTCTTAATTTTGACCAAGTCACTTACTTTCTTAGTTAACTGGCAACTTTGATTACAACCAAGGAATTCCTCAGTGGAAAAACCTAACAAAACCCATCTTCTATGGCAATAGTTCTAGCAAACTGACTTGAGACATTGCAGAGAAGAAACCAGACCCCAGGATAAAGGTCTACAGGACTAAAGAAAAAACAAAAAAGCATGCAATTTTACAGGCTCAGATTCAGACCTTAGAACCAGTTTTCCATGTTCACATGCATTATTCACTACCCTGCTCGAGTGACACCCCACCTGGAGTGCTCCATCCAGTTCTGGGGACATTAGTACAAGAATGGCATTTACCTCCTGGTGCAAGCCCAGAGGAGGCCACCAAGTTGATCAGAGGGCTAGAGCTCCTCTCCTATGGAGACAGGCTGAGAGACTTATGGTTGTTCAGTCTGGAGAAGAGAAGGCTCCAGAGAGACCTTAGAACAGCCTCCCAGTTCCTAACTGGAGTTTGTAAGAAAAGTGGAGAGAGACTTTTTAGCAGGGCCTGGAGTGACAGCACAAGGGGCAAAATTTTAAACAGAAAGAGGGTAGATTTAGTTTGGATATAAGGAATAAATTATTCACCATGAGGGTGGTGAGACACTGTTTTGTTTTAGAACACAGTCAAGTAATTAATTAATTAATTACAGTAAAAAAGTTAATAAAGCCCTACACATTTACTACCACGTCTTAAAGGCAGACTATTGAGTAAGTAAAAGTCAGTGGTGAATGTCCAGAAAACACTTTACAAAAGTGTTCAGCCAGTTTTTAACAAGAGAGGTCTGTTCATGCCTCCACAGAATATTTCCTTTTTTTCCTGTTTATTCACCTGGTTCAAAGTACTGACTAGCTTATTCAAACTGAAAAAGCCTTTGGGAACTGCAAAAGCATGGAAATTGCTCTTGCCCTCTGTATCTGCAAATAGGAACTAGTTGTGAGGAGCTAAGCTCTATGAATTCTGAAACACTGAGGAACACATTGACCAGAAAAAGAGAGGGGGAAAAAAATCAATCAGTTAATTATTTTTTGAGAGATAAACCTTGCCTTGTTTAAATTGAATCCATGTAAATGTCAAATATATTTAGACAAGCTTACTTTCAGTGAATCCAAAACATCT